ATCTCATAGTTTGACACGGGAGCCTTCAGATCAGAGACCTAAAAATTCAAGATGAACTTATTTCCTTATTCTATGAAATTTGAACTGCAGTGTAGGAAAGATGATTTAACACAAAGGGTGTGGCCAAAGAGGAATAGATTAGGGGGAAAACCCAGCAGGGCCTGTCTGTTGAGATTCCTGGCCAGTGTGTGCAGTGTTCTCCCTTCCAGAGTGGGTGGGGTAATAGGTTACAATCACAACTTAAGTGTAAATTTCTTCACTCAGGCTGAGAGGTGGAGGGAGCTGCAGTAACATTGTCAGGTTATGTGGCTGGCTTTGGGGGAAAGGGCTGCTCTTCCTCTTGTCACATTTGTGATCTGCCTCAGGGAAGAAGAGTCCTGGTGTCTGTGGCTTGCCTTGGAGACAGTGAGAGGGTCAAAAGACAGTGGGGCAGAAGTCAGGAAGAAACAGCTTCGGAGATCTTTATTTGGGGGTATTGTTCGCTGAGTCATCCATGGCTTTCAAGCTCAATTTCTTGTCTGTATATTCCTGGACCTTTCCTCCTTATTAATACCGTGCTAATACCACCAGTCCGGGGCTGACCCATTAAAGCAAGCTGATCCTACTAAAGCAATCATTGAGGACCTCCTTGTTGAAAAGAAGTCAGCTTTCTTTTTCTTTTTTTGACTTTTCAAGACAGGGTTTCTTCTTATAGCTCTAGCTGTCCCACAACTCACTCCATTGACTAGGCTGGCCTTGAACTCACAAAGATCCCTCTGTACCTGCCTCCAGAGTGCTGGGATTAAAGGTGTGTGCCACCCCAGTCCAGCTGAGAAGTTCCTCTATGCAGACCCTCCAGCAATTCTGAGGGAGGCTTTGTGATCATCAGCGCTCATTTCTCCGCCAATCCCTGAAAACTGATGTCTGGATTATTCCAGATGTTTGTATTCCAGCTTTCAACTTTGATGAGGTTCTCCCCTTTGGCTCTTTCAAAAAAGCTCTTTTTAAAAAAAAAAAAAAAAAAACTTCAATTTGTTTATTTAGTGTGTGTGCACACACGTGCGTGCTTCTGCGGGTGGGTGTGCTATCCACACGTGTGTATGTGCAGTTCTCACGGTAAGTATGTGGAGGTCAGAGGACAGTTTGTGGAAGTTGGTTCTCAACTTTCACCTTGCTGAGGCAGGATCCCCGTTTCTGCAGCTGCATCCTCCAGGCTAGCTGGCCCTCAAGAGTCTGGATAATTCTGTGCGGGGGCCCTTATCCCACAGTGTGAGTGCTGGGATAACAGATGTGAGCACCCTATGTTTGCATTGTGTGGGTTCCTGTGTGGAAGAGTTTTTACTATGCTGAACTATCTCCTTAGCAGTAAAGAGCTTTTTTTTTTTATTTTTTATTTTTTTTTATTTTTGAGACTGGGTTTCTCTGAGTAGCCGTAGACCAGGCTCACCTCAAATTCAGAGTAGAGATTATTCCTAACCCTAGCAGACATTCTGTTCTTGGGCTAGTTTTACTTAGGTCCCTACTAAATTCTAATTTAACTGCCCTAGTTCCTAGTGGTCCCTGTGCTATATTTCAGACTTTGTCTCAAGCTGGCCCACACAGCCTGTTCTGTTTCTGCTGAGTGACAGGACCTAGCATCCTAAAGTGCACAGGTTCTGGGCTGCTTCAGCCTGTGCCTGAGAACGTGTCAGGTGGGGTTGTAGGCAGAGGAGTGTAGTTTAGGCGAGCTCTTCCCCTCTGCAGCAGGGGGGCCTCTGTCTTCTGCTCTCTGGAGGATCTTCCCGACAAGAAGCAGTTGGCCTGTCAGTCAGACTCCTGCAGTTTAGCGCACTGAAATTCGGGAGGTGCTTGCGGTCAGTTCAGGCAAGGCTATTCAGACATCTATTAAGACCCCACAACGGGCTAGACGTTGCTGTGGTGTTGGGTACAACATAATCGAGTCACATTTTTTTGAAATGAAACGGATTGCCTGGGTTGCTAGCTACAGAAGTGTGCTAAGTGTCTAAAGAGCTAGAGACTTGAGGGTATTGTTGGAGGAGAGGCAGTCAGAGGAGAAAGGGAAAAGGGAAAATAGGGTAAGATGTTTATCCCTGGGGTTTTTTGATTCTTAGGAACAGTTGAGATTAAAGACCTCAGGAGCACGGGCAGAGGGAGGCACCTTCGGAAGTCTTCTACACAAAGGTGAGTCAAACACCTTGCCTGTTTATCTGGAATGGTGGGAAGAAGGGAAGGCAGGAGGGCAAAGAGCAGTCGGGCAGTGTTCCAAGGCCTCTGAGTGTGTTTCTGCGTGTGGGAGTGGCTGTGTGAAATGCTAATTCCTGCGATTTCTTGGCAGCTTTTCTGGAAACTGTGATGACAGCTACTGGTGGGAAAAAATCACCAGCAACCACAGTCATTTCCCTGCTGCCAGGTAACTGGCGGGCACCTGAACCATTTCTTTCTTTCTTTTTTTTTTTTTTTTTTTTTTTGGTTTTTCGAGACAAGGTTTCTCTGTGGTTTTGGAGCCTCTCCTGGAACTAGCTCTTGTAGACCAGGCTGGTCTCGAACTCACAGTGATCCGCCTGCCTCTGCCTCCCGAGTGCTGGGATTAAAGGCGTGCACCACCACCGCCCGGCTCACCTGAACCATTTCTTATGACAGGCTCCCGTCGACTCATTTCTTCTTTCTTGCTCATTTGATATAGATAGGGCATGATTTTTCTTTTTCCTTTTGAGACAGGGTCTCATTATTCAGGATGGCCTGGAACTTGTTATCTGTAGACCAGGTTAAACTCCTATTCTCAGAAATATTGCTCTCCTGCCTCTGCCTCCTGAGAGCTGGGGTTATAGGTGTGCACCATCATTCTCCGCTGAGTTCCTTTTGTTTTGTTTTGTGTTGTGTTGTTTTTAGAGACAGGGTCTCTCTGTGAAACAGCTTTGGCTATCCTGGAACTCACTTCATAGACCAGGCTGACCTCGAACTAACAGAGAATCACCTGCCTCTGTCTCCCAGGTTCCCAAGGGCCGGAACTAAAGGAGAAGCTCATTTTCAAAGAGCAGAGAATTGATAAGCCTCAGTCTGGATATAAACCAAAGAGCTTGTTGAAGAATAAAGAGCCCTGTACAGGAGACCAAGTCCACAGAGAAGACAAAGTGAGCTAGTTAGTTAATTTATTTATTTCATTACTTATTTACTTACTGTATTTTTCTGAGACGAGGTTTCTATGTGTAGCTTTGGTTGTCCTGGAACTCACTCTATAGATCAGGCTGATCTTGAACTCACTGAGAACTGCCTATTTCTGTCTCTCCAGTGCTGGGATTAGACATACTTTCTTTCTTTTTTGTTTTTTTAAAGATTTATTTATTTATTATGTACACAGTGCTGCCTGTGTGTGTGTCTGCACTCCAGAAGAGGACACCAGATCTCATTACAGATGGTTGTGAGCCACCATGTGGTTGCTGGGAATTGAACTCAGGACCTCTGGAAGAGCAACTGGTACTGTTAACCTCTGAATCATCTCTCCAGCCCTTAGACAAAGTTTCTTTAAAAAAAAAAAAAAAAGGTTTTTTTTTTAAATTTTTTTAAACTTTTTTTTTTTTATTCTTCAGCTGAGATAGCGAGAAAGATGGTTTATTATACACAAGTTACCCTTGGCAACAAGTGAGCTCAGAACTAGTCCAGAATGCCACAGGCCCAGGGCAAAGGGCTGGTAGAACTGTTTTGGTTGTAACAAAGGCAGTCAAGTCTCTTAGGTGGTCTCTGCGAGCAGATGGTGAGGTTCCAGGCCCACTGAGACTTACCCCGACGGTAGCACACACTCCTACAACTTGTACCAGCGTCCTGGCCTTTATCACCCCTTTCTTTGCTCCTTCGGCCTTTGTGTGTGGACAGGCTAGTTTACTGGGTCCTCAGCCTCACCTTTCTTCTCTTGTGCTTCATCCTGCACATTCGCTTCTTCCTCCACTTCGCTCCCATGGCACAGGAGTTTCAAGGGAGATGGTGCTAAGGCCAGGAGCTGAACTTTTTATTTTATGTATACGAGGGTTTTGCTTGCATGTATGTCTTGGGAGGTCAAAAGAGGGTACTGGATCTCTTGGAACTAGAGTATCAAGTGGTTGTGAGCTGCTTTGTGGGGGCTGGGAAGAGAGCATGGGTCCTTTGGAAGAGCAGCCAGTACTCTTAACCCTTGAGCCATCTCTCCATCCCCTAAAGTAGATAAAAAACAACAACAACAGCCGGGCGATGGTGGCGCACGCCTTTAATCCCAGCACTTGGGAGGCAGAGGCAGGCGGATCTCTGTGAGTTCGAGACCAGCCTGGTCTACAGAGCTAGTTCCAGGACAGGCTCCAAAGCCACAGCGAAACCCTGTCTCAAAAAACCAAAAAAAAAAAAAAAAAAAAAAAAGCAAAAAACAAAAAACAACAACACGAAGCAACAACAACGAAGACCTTTCCTTTTTCTTTTTTGTTCTTGAGATGGGTTGCATGTAGCCTAGTCGGGCCTTGAATTCATTAGGTAGTGGAGGCTGGCACTGAACTCTTCATTCTCCTGCTTCCACCTCCCCAGTGCTGAAATCACAGTGTGACAGAGTTTCTATCGTTAGGTATGCTCCAACTAGCTTCAGACATTCCCAAGACATCATTAGGTCATTTATTTGTGTGGCAGGAATTTGTGTCCTTCAAGATATTATGGAAAAGGAAAGGAAAGAAAAGAAAAGAAAAGAAAAGAAGCTGAGCATGGTGATATACACCTATAATTCCTGCACTGGGGAAGCAGAGGCAGGCGGATCTCTGTGAGTTCGAGGCCAACCTGGTCTACATGAGCTAGTTCCAGGACAGGCTCCAAAACTACAGAGAAACCATATCAAAAAAAAAAAAGAAAAGAAAAGAAAAAGAACTAGGACAGGCCTCAAAAAATGTTTAAACTCCTAAGGAAGTAATACCTTCTAGAGCTTTCTTTTATTGTTTTCTCAAGCTATTCTGTTAAAGTAAACTGTCTGTGGGCTGACCTGTCACTTTCTTTCTTTTTTTTTTTCTCTTTTGTCCTGTTTGCAGTATCATACATGATCACCAAACTGCTGCTAGGATTCTCACACCTGTTACTGCAAATTCCAACCCCAGGGAACGTGTTCCTCTGGGGATTTTCTTTTTTTTTTTTTTCATTTTTTTTGTTTTTTTGTTTGTTTGTTTTTTGTTTTTTGAGACAGGGTTTCTCTGTGGTTTTGGAGCCTGTCCTGGAACTAGCTCTTGTAGACCAGGCTGGTCTCGAACTCACAGAGATCCGCCTGCCTCTGCCTCCCAAGTGCTGGGATTAAAGGCGTGCGCCACCACCACCCTGGGGATTTTCTTTAGGTCAAGGTCGGGCTGTCTGGTACAAGGCTGCACCCACCTCGGGCAGCTTCAGCCACACAGGAGCCTTTCCCCTGTACCTGTCACTTTCTTAAGTGGATGCTGGGCATTGCTAGGAAGGTTCTGGAATAGTTTCCGCCTCTTAACTGGGCCGCAGATGCTGACTACTGACACACACAGAGAAGGGCCAAAATAGATCGCAGCTCTTTCACTACTTCTGGTTTTCAATACACGCATGGATGCATTTAGTTCTGTATTCAAAGCTAGATCACTGACCAGGCATTGTGGCCCATGCCAGGAAACCCAGCGTTCGGAGCTTGAGGCAGGTGGATACAAATTTTGAGGCCAGTCTGAGCTACGTACAGTCACCCTGCCTCAAAAGAAGAGAAAAAAAATCAAATGAGAGCATGCGGACACAGACCAGCTCTATCGACATGTGTGCCAGTGAAGAAATGTTAATTAAACAATGAAAGGAAGGAAGGAAATTACACACCTGGGATTACAGGTGTGATCGATGTTCACACCTGTAATCCCAGTACTCGGCAGGTGGAAGGAGGAGGATCAGGCACTAAAGGCCAGGCTAGGTTACTTAGTGAATTAGAATTTGAGGCCAGCCTGGGCTAAATGAAATCTTATCTCAAAGGAAGAAAAACAAACAACAGAGGGTTGTTGTTGGTGGTGCTGGAGAGATGGCTTAGCAGTTAAGAGCACTTGCTACAGATATCCTGGATTTGGTTTCCAGTACCCACATGATGGCTCATAACCAGCTGTGACTTCAGTTCCAGGGGATCTAATGCCCTCCAAAGCCACAAACATACATGCAGGCAAAACACCCAAATACATAAAATAAATTAATACACAACAGCAATAAAATTGGTCAGTCACGGTGGCATATGCCTTTAATATCAGCACTTTGGGTGCAGAGGCAGACTATGGGTTCTAGGCCAGCCTGGTCTACATAGTGAGTTCTAGACAGGGCTTCAAAGTAAGACCCCTGTCTCAAAAAAGGAGAGAAGAAGGAAAGAAAGAAGAAAAGGATCCACATCTGGAAACAGATGAAAATACATAATAAAAGACTTGTGAATGTTACAATACATGGAATGCGCAGTAATGATACGCCTTGTGGTCAACATGTCACCTTTTAGGAATGCTGAGTTCACTGTGCCGAACCAACCTCAGTGCACAAAATGCTCACACAGCGTTTGTCCAGCTCGGAAAATAAGTTTGCGGTGCTTTGTCTCAGGTTGTTGATCTTTGACTTTCACTGAATGAGTCTCATATCCCAGAAAAATAATCACCAGTTCGGTACTTCAAAAGGAAACAAGATTCTGTGTTTTCAGGCTTTCTGGGTATCCATAGCTTCCATAGACATGAGTTTAAAATGAATGCAGTGAAGAATCTAGAGAAAGAAGGGGAAAAAAGAAACAGAAAATGTGACCATGGAAACAGGGTGGAGAGAATTGTTCATACACAAGTGGCACATACGGGTCCTAAAAAATATACTGTAGTACATCCAAGGAAAGTCAGTAAGAAGGGCAGACAGGAGCTGGGCGGTGGTGGCGCACGCCTTTAAACCCAGCACTTGGGTTGCAGAGGCAGGAGGATCTCTGTGAGTTCAAGGCCAGCCTGGTGTACAAGAGCTAGTTCCAGGACAGGAACCAAAAGCTAAGGAGAAACCCTGTCTTGAAAAATCAAAAAAAAAAAAAAAAAAAAAAAAAAAGAAAGAAAGAAAGGAAAAGAAGGGCAGACAGGAACTGGGGAGAAGGCTCATCAGCTAAGGGCACTGGCTACTCTTATAAGAGGAACAGAGTTAGTTACCAGCATCCACATGGTGGTTCACAACTTCTGTAACTCCATTTCCAGAGGATGCAACATCATCTTCTGGATTCCAACAGCTCCTGCGTGAATGTGATGTTGGGATACTCTTCTTTTTTTTTTTTTCGAGACAGGGTTTCTCTGTGGCTTTGGAGCCTGTCCTGAAATTAGCTCTTGTAGATCAGGCTGGTCTCGAACTCACAGAGATCCGCCTGCCTCTGCCTCCTAAGTGCTGGGATTAAAGGCGTGTGCCACCATTGGCCAGCCTGGGATAATCTTTTTGTACACTATATGTGACGATGCGTCTCTGTTCTACCTCACCTGTCTAAGGCACTGTCTTATTGGTTTAATAAGGAGCTGAATGGCCAATAGCTAGGCAGGAGATGATAGAAGGGACTTCTAGAGAGAGATAGGAACTTAGGAACAAATCTGAAGTTGGAATTCACCAGCCAGACTCAAAGGAAGTCAGAAGCACTTTACTGAGGAGAGGTAATGAGCCACATGGCACGATGTAGTTTAATATAAAAGGGTTAACTTACTTTTTTTGAGCCAGGGTTCTCTGTAGCTTTGGAGCCTGTCCTGGAACTAGCTCTGTAGACCAGGCTGGTCTCAAACTCACAGAGATCTGCCTGCCTCTGCCTCCCAAGTGCTGGGATTAAAGTTGTGTGTCACCACCACCTGGCCGAGGGTTAACTTAGGTTTTAAGAGCTAATTGGGAACTAAGTCCTAAACTAAGTCCAAGCTTTCATAATTAATAAGAAGTCTCCATTACTCAGGAGCTGGCAGTCCAAGGAAGTACCTGTTATAACATGGCACACATACAGTATACACATAAATTTATTAGTTTGTTTTGATTTTTTCAAACCGGGTTTCTCTGTGTAACAGTCCTAGCTGTTCTGGAAATAGCTCTGTAGACCAGGCTGGCCTTGAACTCAGAGACCTGTCTACCTCCAAAATACTCTGATTAAAGGTTTGCAACACCACCAGTTAACATACAATTTTTTTAAAAATATTTATTTATTATGTATACAATATTCTGTCTGTGTGTATGCCTGCAGGCCAGAAGAGGGCACCAGACCCCATTACAGATGCTTGTGAGCCACCATGTGCTTGCTGGGAATTGAACTCAGGACCTTTGGAAGAGCAGGCAATGCTCTTAACCTCTGAGCCATCTCTCCAGCCCTAACATACAATTTTTTTAAGTAAATAAAAAATACTGGAAAAAAGGCATGTTTCTTGGTGGTCATCTTCTTGATTTCCAACAATGCCATCAAATCCTTTATTTGTCTCTAGACTCCAGAACCTCTCAGTGCCTTGATTTCGTCTGTGAGGTTGGTTGTTGGACTAGATAATCTCTGAAGTAATTTTTTTTTTTTTTTTTTTTTTTGGTTTTTCGAGACAGGGTTTCTCTGTGGTTTTGGAGCCTGTCCTGGATCTAGCTCTTGTAGACCAGGCTGGTCTCGAACTCACAGAGATCCGCCTGGCTCTGCCTCCCGAGTGCTGGGATTAAAGGCGTGCGCCACCCACCGCCCGGCTATCTCTGAAGTAATTATATGGGATTTCTTTTTTTTTTTTTTTTTTTTTTTGGTTTTTCGAGACAGGGTTTCTCTGTGGTTTTGTTTTTTTTTTTTTAAATATCTATTTATTTATTTATTTTGTATACAATATTCTATCTCTGTGTGTCTGCAGACCAGAAGAGGGCAGCAGATCTCGTTACAGATGGTTGTGAACCACCATGTGGTTGCTGGGAATTGAACTCATGACCTTTGGAAGAACAGGCAATGCTCTTAACCACTGAGCCATCTCTCCAGCCCCTTCTCTGTGGTTTTGGAGCCTGTCCTGGAACTAGCTCTTGTAGACCAGGCTGGTCTCGAACTCGCAGAGATCCGCCTGCCTCTGCCTCCCGAGTGCTGGGATTAAAGGCGTGCGCCACCACTGCCTGATTTAGAACTAGCTCTTGTAGACCAAGCTGCCCTCAAGTCATAGAGATCCACCTGCCTCTGCCTCCCGAGTGCTGGGATTAAAGGCATGCGCCACCATCGCCTGGCTACAATCCTGTTTTCTTTCTTTCTTTCTTTCTTTTCTTTTTTTTTTTTTTGGTTTTTTTGAGACGTGGTTTCTCTGTGGCTTTGGAGCCTGTCCTGGAACTAGCTCTGTAGACCAGGCTGGTCTCAAACTCACAGAGATCTGCCTGCCTCTGCCTCCTGAGTGCTGGGATTAAAGGCGTGCGCCACCATCGCCTGGCTACAATCCTGTTTTCTTTTCTTTTTTTTTTTTTAATATTTATTTATTTATTATGTATACAATATTCCATCTGTGTGTATGTCTGCAGGCCAGAAGAGCACATCAGACTTCATTATAGATGGTTGTGAGCCATCATGTGGTTGCCGGGAATTGAACTCAGGACCTTTGGAAGAGCAGGCAATGCTCTTAACCACTGAGCCATCTCTCCAGCCCCTCCTGTTTTCTTTATAAGGTATTCATCCTGAATTATTTTGGTACAATCTCTTAGTTCATCCTTTTTTGTTTTGTTTTTGTTTTTTTTGAGACAGGGTTTCTCTATGTAACAGCCCTGGCTGTCCTGGAACTCACTCTGTAAACCAGGCTGGTAGTTAAGAGCACTGCTCTACCAGAGGACCTGAGTTCAATTAGAGGACCTGAGTTGTTCGATTAGAGGACCTGGGTTCGATTCCCAGCACCTACATAGTGGCTCATAACCACCGATAACTCTTAGTTCCAGGATATCTCACACTCTCTTCTGTTATCCACAGATACCAAGTATGCAGACAAAACAACCATATACTTTAAAACAAATAAAGTTGAAAAAATACAAGGTCTAGCTATGTGTCCTTGCTTGGTACTCAGCCTCTAGTCCAGGATGGCCTTAAGTCAAGGTAATCTTTATCAAGGTAATCTTTCTGCCCTGGCCTCCCAAGTACTGGGATTACAGGCATATGCCAATAGGACTGGCTTAAACTCTATTTTTATGTTAAGGTATTTTGTTATACCATCAGAAAATGCCCTAAAATGCTTCAGATTGTGAGCACAAAGTCATCCTTTGAAAAGCTTCCTTCCAGGTGGCTGTGAAGATGGCTCACCTGATAAACTGTCTGCTGTATGAGTATGAGGACCTGAGTTTGAATCTTTACAACCTACATAAAGACCAGAAATGCTAACACATCTGTAACCCTCATTCTGGAGTAGCAAAGGCAAGAGACTTCTTGTTTTTTTTTTTTTGTTTTTTGTTTTTTGTTTTTTGTTTTTTCGA